GGTTATGAAGTATGTTGTGAATTGACCTAAATATCTTATCTTAGGCTATGAATTAGTGATGAATTGCGATATAGTGATTAAATTGGCTTTGTTGTTATGTTTATTATGGTTATATGATGATACTACACCCTAATTGGGTTGTGTAAGGGTATATGGTAAGACCTTGATGATGAATTATGAAGGAGACTTGGTAAGTCTTGTGATCCCTATTATTAACTTCAATTATGGTTAATTGTGATTAAGTTATGATTTGTATTGGAGTATGTCTTGTATTAGGATTGATAGTGTTGGTATGATGTTGAATTGAAATGTGTTGACTATGGTTTGTGAGGTTGGCTAAGATGTAAATGTTATATGGATGGTGAATGATTTACCAATGTGCCTTATCATGAAGTGATATGTAAATGTGCTAACCTCACTTATATGAATTGTAATGAAAGGACAATAGACAATACTCATGCAATTCTTACTGATCTATGATGATGATGATGTTACACAAGGGTTAGACACCATGACTTACAATAAGCTATGATGATTAATAAAAACATTAAAGACATTTCAAAAATGAACTTTAGCTTAGCACCATTCAACTAGAGTGAGGAATGTCCCTTCCTACATAGGGAAGGTAGGATCACTAATGTACTCTTGAGATTGGAGACTACAGTGCCTATGCATAAAGAGGGTCCAAACTATATCTCTTAGGTCTTGAACTATTTCCCCTCCATGGATTCACGTAGTTTTTATTTTCATGTTTTTGTACTACCTTGGAATATAGTCTGCCTTTTTTTGGTGTAAGGTTCCATGACACTGGATTTCATATTAGCTCATGTGGTTTACATCGGTTACGGCAAGATTTACCCAAAGGTAAAATGAATTAATGGAATGAACTCTAACTAAGAAAACCTAAGGGGTTTAGCTTAGTCTAGGTAGGAGTATGGGACTCTACCTAAACATTGCACGAGTTAGTCTTGAAGGAAGTCTTGGGAGGATGTTCTTATGTATGAATATGATTATAATGGTACATGATATGTATATAATGAACTTGCACATTGTTGATATAATATATTGATTAGTGTTACTTATGAATATGTGTTGGTATATGTTGTTAAAGTATGATAATATGTACTCTTAATTGCTATGCTATGTGAAGTAGGTTGTTGGTCAGGATTCTTGTTGGGTTACTTGATTGATTAAGGTTATGGGGCTTTGCTTGGTCATTGCACTTTTGACTTTATAGGGGTTCATGGGTAATTCTCTTGCTTTCATTATGTTATAATGAACTCTTATTCATGCTTGTGGTTATTTATGACTTGATGATAGAGTTACTTGACTATGCATTCAGTTACATAATATGAATGTTGACTTGACTAGTTTTGATGTTGTTGGTCTTATGATATACATGCCTAAGACTTAATGAGTATGACTAAGTGATTTCGTATAGTCTTGTTGAATGTGGATAAAGGTTTTCAAAGTAAATTGTGTACTTAATAAAATGTCCCTTATAGCATGTTTTCATGATATGTGTGCATATGGTCTCATACTTAGCACAAGTGTTGTACTAACCTCATTTCTTCCTTTTCCCCAACATTTTAGTTTTTGGTCATTGAAGGGCTTTTGGAGATGACTTTGAAGAACACTTTGGATTCTTAATCATCCAAGTATGGTAGGTCCTCACTTTCCGAGGGTGATGCCACCATCAAGGCTATGATATTGTATTAGTGTCCAAGACTCTTGTGTTTCTTTCCTTTTCATTTAGATATTAAACATTGTATGACCTATATGTGGTCTAGTTTCATTCATGTATCGGATAGGCCAATTGCATATACTCTTATTAGATGGTAATGAGATGAGACGAATTTTTTAGACTATGCTATATTATATATATATATATATATATATTATGTGCAATAAAAGTAGAAGACTAAGTAATCTTCCTATACGAAGGGTCTATGTATGCTCAATATATATACATGTGTGTGTGTGTTTGTGTGTGTGTGTGTAGTCAATGTAGAAGTAGTAAAGAGTTTTAAATTTCCGTTAAATTTGACCTATGAATGTAATGATGTAAGCTAAGAGGCTAGTCTTAGTACTCAAAGAGGACAACGATGTCGGTTAAGTCTAGGGGGTATTCCGAGATGTGACTGAATGGTGGGAAACGCTAAACTAACCTCAATTAAGAACTATGTGATAACTTCTACGGGCACAATGTACGGTAGTATCAGGACATTTCATCTAATTGTAAATGTTGGATATTGTTAGTCAGCAATATAACCCAACTGAATAAGTTATGATCGAATCATAGGGAGTGGTATTTGTTTGAGAATCAATAAGAAAATACAAAAATCTCTAAGTCAGCCATAGGAATAGACATTTGTCAATAAAAACATAAATCAAATTAAGGGGTTGACACGATTGTCAAATAATAGGGAGTTTTGGTTTTAACTATTCACTAAAACAATAGATAATTACACAAAAATGACAATAGTGAGACAAGTTCTTAGAATTTTAACAAGACATCATCAAAAGATATAAATCATTACTAATTGTGTTTCCATCAACTGGATTAAATTATTTCGTCTTAACAAAGGTCCAAACTGAAGAATTCCAAAGACTCACTTTATATTTCTCAAAAATGGAAAAACTTCAATTCTTCCGAGTTAACGAAGACTTAGTCTCACTACTCATGGTTCAAACTATAAAATTACTCTAATGAATTTTAGAAAATGAAATTCCTTTTAATTATGTTGTTTGAATACATTTATAGTCTCCATAATTATGGTGAGAAGGGACATTCGGTGCACTATGTAAGAATCAACGATCGACTCGGGCGATCCGCCCTTTGAACCATTTCAACGCCTTCATGCTTTGGCCTTCAACCTTCTCAGGTTTTGTTACTTAAGGCAATCCAACAATGGATCATGGAACCACTCGGTGATACGGCAACTTCTCTTTTTTCTCGCCAACTTAATTTTCTAGTTCAGGGCTTGGCACACTGGAAATTTAGGTGAGATAATAGCCATTTGGCGACTCGCCTAATGGATTAATCGATCATCACGACCTTCTTTTCTTTGTTCTTTCAGCTGCCTTGTTCATTTTTGCCCATAGTGTCCATGCTTTGTTCCTCAATCCAATACCTGGAAATCGAGAGTTTGCATCAGTTTTTGGTACAAAACATGCATTTAAAGACACTAAATATATCCAAATAAATCCCTAAATGAGTCCAAATCGTGGACCCAACACTGGTCAACCATAAAAAGACTACTGGAAACCAACTTCTAGATCAAATTCCAATAACTAGGATCTATGACCCATTGTATGACCAATGACTTAGGTATCTACCGTGCAACTCATGATAAAAAATCCCTTAAGTCCATATGCCTTTATATGAGCCCTGGGACACCGACCACCGTAAGTTGTACGGTCTGTAGTCCTAATCGTATATCCAAGGATCATCAAATATGTTACCATTAGTTTAAGTCAACATATGTAACTATGAAAACATGATTACGTCCGTTCGATTCTTAGTAAGATTTTTCATCGGATTAGGGCGGAAAATTCTAGATTTGTGGATAGGTTTATAGAAAACTCTAGAAGCCCCTTGATATTTCAAGAAGACTCTAGAAGAACTTAGAAGCCTTTTTGGAAAGATTTGGAAAGTCCTAAAATGTATAAAGAGTTCTAGAAGAGGACTAGCTATTTCTAGGAAAGCCTTAGAATTCGCTAGTCTAGTAGATAATTCTAGAACATGGACCAAAGTGTAAATATTTAAGGACTTGTGTCGTAAATTTTATTTACACTATAGCCCCCTAGGAGGTAGTATAAATAGAGGGGTTCTCATTTGTAAAGCATCCAACAACTTGTAAGCAATATAAAGCCTTCTTCCAAATTTTTCCAAGTCTTTCCTTCCATTCTCTTAGCGATCTTAGTTTTAAAAACTTTCTTGAGATTACAACATCTTGAAAGATTAATGAGTACGTTTCCAAGTGTTGCACAGAACGTTAGTAAGACTCTAAGTTTGTGACAATGTAGTATAAGAGCAAAGTTTTTCCCTAAGGGAGTGGATAACGAAAGAGACATATATGCTGCTAGAACCACCAACGTCAGGTTAGAGGGTTGACAGAAGAACCACAATGGAAAGAAGCACCAACTATTAATGAGAAAATGTTTCTCTACCCAACAACAAATTAGGGGCTAACATCTTATCCGCATTCGACCGCCAAAGCGAGTGATAATGATCGTGGCGAGGAGCCCATTGATGTCAGACTTAGAGATGAGTGGATTGGAAGGGTTGAAACGGCGAAGAAGGTGGTGGAGATATTAGGCCGGTGTTTGATCGTGAACGATGGCAAGTTCAAGACTCTCGAGGAGTTCATCCTTCAGTAGACCGAAAACATCCACAAGGAGTTGGAGGGACGCTAGCGTGCTAAGTTTGAGATGAAGGAGGTTATCACTTCCTTGGAGTGTCAGCTCATGGAGGTGTTGAGCACGATTGAGACTATGAAGTCAGAGATAAAAGTACTCAAGGAAGCCATGGAAATTGGAGGATGATCGTCACTTGACCAAGATAGCGAGGCCAAGGTCGAGGCTCCAAAGCAACCTATATTCAAAGGCTCCCGTGACGCGCAAGAGGTGGAGAATTTCCTGTGGCACTTGGAGAATTACTTCAAGTATAACCGATTGAAGAGCGATGAAAACAAGATCAACACCGTCGTGTTGTATCTTTCAAAAATGGTCATGTTGTGGTTGAGATGTAAAGAGTCGTAAATAGGGAAGGGGCGTTGCACCATCAACACTTGGGAGAAATTCCAAGAGGAGTTCAAGAAGGCGTTCTTCCCTAATAACATCATCTATGAGGCTAAGCGCAAGTTAAAGGAGATGAAGAAAACAGGCAGTATATGTGCGTATGTGCAGGAGTTCACCACCCTCACGCTTCAAATTCCTAACCTCACAATAAAGATATGTTGTTCCAGTTCATGAATGGTTTGTAAAATTGGGTCAGGATGGAGTTGGAAAGCCGACAGGTCAGGACTATTCATGAAGTCATCATGCAAGCCAAAGCTTTGATAGACTTCAGGAATGAAAATCCCAACAAAGCCAGAGGAGACAAAGTGAGAGGTAGTCATGACCATGGTGGGGGAGATCGTGGCAAAGGCAAGGAGAAACAACCATATCCTAAAAAGAATTATACCTACAAGTCTGATGGCAAGAAGTTTACACACATGGAAACACGGAGAGAAAGACAGAGGTCGCCCAAAGATGTAGTTGCTACATATGTGGTAGGCCGCATGGCTATGAGAAGTTTCATGAACTGAAGAGTCGTGGTGCTATGTGAGTGAGAAAGGAGAACGATGTAGAGGATCAAGGACAAGGCATAAAGACGAAGCAGTTGGGCTTGATAGAGCGATGCATATCTATCGCCAAGCAACCAGAAAAGTTGAAAGAATATGGCGCAGAGTATGTCTACATCACAACAAATGAAAATTCGCTCGGGCTATGGTCTACAAAGACTTAGAAGACAACACAATGACCAAGACGACAACGACAAGGTTGAAGATATGTTACAGTCCAAGTAAAGGCCAACTCAGGATGGTCAATACATCACCAACTCCTGCGAGCGAGTCGCACATGGAGTAAGAACCACACTAGGCGAGTTGCAAGGTAAGACCAATTTCACTATCGCTCCTTTCGATCTCTTTGATATAATTCATGTTAAAAAGTTCTTCCAGCAGTGCCACGCTTTGAATGATACTTACCTACAACCATTTATGGTCATGGATCAAGGAGGAACATACATGATTCCCATGGTTATGGCACCGCAGACAAAATTCAGATTTTGTAACCACCATTACAAGTTTGAAATAAGACAATAGTGATATGAAGTCTTTGACACCGTGCACAAAGAAGGTTCAAAGAGGGAACAATGTTGTGATGCCAAAGAAGTAGTCGAGGCACTTGCCTCCTAGGAAGGAGGTAGATCGTTATGCCGAGTCAGAAGAGATAAAAAATCAATCGAATGAGTTGTGTGAGGGCATTGCTTGAGTTAATGGACTGTTGGTTGCATATATGTTAAGACAAGACTTATTTGCCAATGCAGCGATGATGTGATGTTGTCGTCGCATCAATAAGTAGGGGAGAGTGTCACCTCCCACCAATTCTTAGTAAGGTTTTGCATCCGGATAGGGGTGGAAGAATCTAGAGTTGTGGAGAGGTTTATAGAAAACTTTAGAAGCCCCTAGATATTTCAAGAAGTCTCTGGAAGAACTTAGAAGCTTTCTCAGAAAGCTTTAGAGAGTCCTAGAATGTATAAAGAGTTCTAGAAGAGAACTAAATGTTTTCTAGGAACTCCTTAGATTTATCTAGGCTAGTAGAGAATTCTAGAAAATGGACCAAAGTGTAAATATTTAGGACTGGTTTACTAATTTTTATTTACACTTTAGCCACCTAGGAAGTAGTATAAATAGAAGGTCTCTCATTTATAAGGCATCCAATAACTTGTAAGAAATCTTCCAAGCAATATAAATCCTTCTTACAAATCTTTTTGAGTCATTCCTTTTATTATCTTAGAAATCTTTGTTTCAAAGGCTTACTTGAGCTTATAAGATCTTGAAAGATTAGTGAGTAAGTTGTGAAGTGCCTCAGAGCTATAGTAAGACTCTAGTCACGGACTTAGAGTCTTACTAAAGTTTTGTGCGGCACTTGACAACTTACTCATGAATTTTTCACGATTTTGTAAGCTCAAGTTATCCCTTTGAAACTAATATTGCTAAGAGAATGTAAAGAAAGACTTGAGAAGTTTGAAGAAGGATTTTATATTACTTGGAAGACTGCTTACAACTTGATCGATGATTTAAAAATGAGTGTCCCATCTATTTGTACTACAACCTAGAGGCTGAAGTATAAATAATATTTACTTTATAAGTCCATCTAATAATTTCACTTTGGTCCCTCTGTTGAACTTTTTACATGTTCTAGGATATTCCAAAGCTTTCTAAGACATATTCTAAGCTATTGTAGAGTCTTCCAAGGAAAATCCTAAGGAATTCTAGAGTCTTCTTGGAATATCTAGGGGCTTCTAGAGTTTTCTATAAGCTTCTCCAAAACTCTAGACTACAATAAGTTTAATCCAACACATGTTATAGTGACAACATGATGAATATCTCCAAAAAAAACTAATAAAATGAATATCAAAACCTAAGAAGCAACTAAAAGTTAGCTCTTTTAAATTACCGAATCGCTAAAGCATAAGGTCAACGGATAAAGTGAGACCATACATACTCGCTAACAATACATTGTTTAAATTTAGTGTTAAATTCAAGAAATGGTATTACGAGAATGGAGAAATGTTTCTCCAGCAACAAAAAGAAATATCACGGAGCAGTAACCAATAATCACATAATGATGGAAAGAAAGCAAGAACATTTACTACAGTCTGATAAAGAATTAAATCATTTTAATTGACGAATACAAAATAGAAAGGAAAGAAAATATTCTTTGCACCAAAACAACACATAGTGATAGAGATAGATGTAGATTCACATATTACAATGAACCATACAGTGCTCGGTGTTATCACTCACACACACACACACACACACACAAACACACACACACACACGCACACGCACACGCACACGCACACACACACACACAATGTCATATGGACAAAAATACCATAAATGAAAAAAATGTAAGTGTTTTCTAAGGGATTCGAAATTGGGTTCCCTTTACCAAATTCCCTATAGATGCATAAGTCGTACGTGAATTAAATCTTCAAGAATAATATTGCCTACTTCGATCGTAATCGATATCTTGGCATACATACAAGATGCATAAGTCTAATAATCTTAGGAAGATATGAATAAGTTAAATGAACTACGAATGAAGCCTCATGGCTTATATGGATAGACCCACAAGTCTAGCATACGTTTAAAAAAGTGAACCTAAGATGTATGTAATGAAATAATGTAACCCTAGAAGGGTTAAGTACGAGTGTAAAACAAACTAAATGGCCAAGTGCATTGGCATACGATGAAGTGATTATTATGTAATGAAATGATGAAACCCTAGAAGGTTAAGTAAGAGTGTAAAAAAGACAAATGACCAAGTGCATTGGCATATGATGAAATGAACATTCACGTAAAAAGGGGTGAGTAATTATGAAGAGCAAATCTGCTAATGTTGATGAATTTGGTGACAACATGATATGAGGCTAATGTAAAAGATGAGATTAATCTCAAATGTGCCTAAGTAAATGTTACCAAAACGTACTCACCTATGAGAGTGTAAAGTTAATGAAGAGACCAATCTCTATGAACACTCTAATGAAAGTATTGAGATTAACACACTTAATACTAATGATGATATCAGAAATCATCTATTGAGCTATGATGTCCTCATACTAGAAGCCAACTTCCATGATGTATGAGTTGAATGTAATGGAACTTCATACTGAGCACCGATAGACTATCTATGAGCGGTGATGCCTTCTTCTGGGAAGGGCGGATGTTAACGTATATCTCATGAGATGAGATTGTCCGGTATGTTGGGTATGAGTCTCCTTATATCTTCTAATCTTTGAACCTATACTTCCAATATAGGGATCTGGCAAGGTTCAATTCCCATTTACGCTAGCATGTTTTGGGTCACTTTGTCCGGTATTCCACCTCTTTTCCATGTGGGATTTCATGACACTAGATTTCATGATGCTCACATGATCAATGTCAGTTAAAGTTAAAGTTTCCAATGAATGAATAAGGCCAGCCTCAAATGATGCACATAATGAAACAAATAATACCAAAGGTGTTAGGATAGGATAATAAAGAGGTGAGTTAGACTCAAGTGATGACATTAGGTCATTCTTGGTCATTGCACAATGAACCCAACAAATGTCTTAAACTATATCCTAGGTATAGCTGGTGTTTACACTGGCCCATGAATAAAATGAAATGAAGTATGTATGAATGAAAGAAGCAGACTCTGTGTTAGCTAAAGTAGACTCCCTAGATGAGGTCCCATATATTGAGCCCTCATTTTGGGAAGTCTTAATGTTAAGTCCATGATTCCAAGGTCTCATGACATATGAATAATTGATATAAACAACATTATGTGTTACATGAATTATGATATGTTCTGTGTGTACGTTGTTGTGTGTTGTGTGCAAAATGATTGGCATGATGATAAATGTTACTCTCATGGCATGACTTTCCTAATCCAAATTTGGGATGTTCACTCACTTTCTTAATCCAAATTTGGATAGCTCACTAACTTTCCTAATCCCAATTTGGCAAGTCCACTGACTTGACTTTCCATAATCATGTTTTTAGGAAAGAGTTGTTCTTAATCATGCATGTCCTTGGTGTGTGCTTTCATATACCCATACTTAGTACAAGTGTATAGTAACCCTATACAACTCTAAACTTTTAGGTTCAAGGACAGGTGGACGCTAGAGCTATAGGATCAACACTGCGGTTATCTGGACGTCGAGCATTCATCCAGACTTGGTAGGCCCTCATGCTTTTGAGGATGCTTGAATATTTACATTCTAGATTATTTGTAGGATTGAGCTAGTGGAGTATGTTCCACTAGCGTTTCTTTCCCATTTTTGTTCAGACATTGTATTGGTGTTATTTTGGCAAGTACATCATTATCGTTATAATAAAATGTTTCTTTTATTTTATGATCTTATTGTTAGATGGTTTATGGTGAAAAATTAAGTATTTAGTTTAATGTTTAGTAAGCATGTCACCAATAAAAAGTTTCAAATTTTCCACTAAAATTAACCTATATGAAGTAAGAATAACGTATGTAGGCTTGTCTGCAACCTCTGAGAGGTCGACGACACCGGTCTCATCTTGGGTCTAGATTCTGCTTGTGACAGCTTAGGTTCCTCGTATTATTTCCCAGGCTACCCTACTTATTTAATATCAGAACTTGTTTGTCGATTGTCCTAATCAATTGGTCGAGAATAGCAATAATGATGATCTGGAGATATTGACTTAGAGCTTAGGGTTTAGATCTTAAGAAACTGTAGTTTGTTATTTTTTTTATTGTCATGGTATGTTTGTTGGTTTGCTTTGTCTTGTTGTCATGGTATGTTTGTTGTTTTGTTTTGTTTTCATTTTATGTCTGTTGAAACATTTATCTTAAAATACATTGAAAGTATAAGACGTATTCTAGAGTCTAACATGGGTGTCAAAAGGTTAATACACTATTTTAAGGTCATATATAATGAATATAGATCATCTACGAAGTTTAGGAATCAAAACGTAAAGGAACGTCAATGATATCCGGGCACGACTCCCCAAGGATCAACCAAGGGCCCTTGAGGATGACCCTTGCATTTTGGGGTCAAAGGATACCCAAGGCAGTGTCCACAAACGGATTCAACCAACAATTCGTTGTCCAACCGATAGGGCGTGGACTGCTTCCGTTGATGGGTACTTAGCCAAATTCATGGGAGGCTTCATTTGACAAGTCTCTGAACTAAACGACGGACCACCAGGACGGTTGGTACCTTGGTCCGTCGATTGACACACGAGGCATCGACGTGGTCTCGTAGCTCTTGTTGAGCAGGTCTATGTACTTTTTTTATGGGTAAGGTTTTGACATCCTCCACCTTAACCCGCCGGTGGGTGGCATATGGAGTATTAAAGAAGATTCTTAAGACAGAACACATCCCCCCTTACTTAGTAGGGAGATATAATGCTCTGCGTGGAACACTAACCGAATCATGGGCCATGTCCATACCCGGCGATAGGGTAAAAGCCGAGCCATTTATTCCCACTTCTTGGGAGTGACAACCACTTGACTGTAATGAGAGGAGCTGTTTGTCTCTAAGACCACTTGTTTTGCTGCATGATTTAAGTTAGATAAGTCAAATAATTAATTGGTTTGTTAAATAATTAGGTGTTAAGGGTCGTCTAATTTAGTTAGTTGACAACCTATATAAATAACATAAGATAATTAACTAAACTAAGCCCTCATAATTCCCAAACCCAAATTCTCTTCCTTCTTTCTCTCTCCCAAGTTGAAGAACCATAGAAGGTCAATTCAAGGGGTTTATATGGATGAAATCACCAATGTTTCTTCATAAATCTTCATCAAACATTAAGGTATGGGATTCCTTTCACCTTTGGGACTTCTTCTTAGAGGGTTCCTTAAAATTGATCTCAAAAGATGAGTTTTCATGTGGGTCCTTTCCAATCTCGAAATTGATCTTTCAATTAGATTTGTTTATGATTTACTTTGTATAACATGAATAGGTTAACATGTATTCTAACTCAACTATGTTATTTCCTTATGGATTGGTCTAGTTTGTTGAAGATGACCTATTCCCCTTAACCCTAGGTTTTGATTGTGAATTGAACTATCTAGTGTTGATGCATTTGTTTTGGTCAATGTGTGAATTACTGTCCTATGATGTTATTGTGACAATTTATGAATAGATTGAGATGAATTGTAAGTCTTACCATGCCAGTTCTTGAGTAATTGATCTAGATTGTGAAGTGGGTTATGAACTTGACCTAAGTCTGTTATCTTAAGCTATAAACTAGTGATGGATTGTGATGTAGTGATTCAATTGTCTTTGTTATTATGTTGATTATTGTGGTGTGATTATATTACACCATTTTTGGGTTGAGTTGATGGTTAATATTAAGACCTTAATGATGGCATGGTGAAGGAAATTGAGTAAGTTTTATGCTCTCTATTACTTACTTCGATTATTGTTACTTGTGCTTAAGTAATGATGTTATATTGAAGTAGACATTATATTAAGATTCATAGGGTTGGTAGGATGTTTAATTGAAATGTATTGATTATGTGATTGTGAGATTATGCTTAAAATGTATTGATATAAGGTTGCTGATGAAGTACTTATGTTCCTTACTATGTTATTATGATGTTAATGTGCTAATCTCACATGTGAGGGGTGTAATGAAGGGTTTTCTCATGCAATTCTTATTGAGCTATGATGATGATGAATATATAAGGGATATAACTTATGACCTACATTATGTTATGATTAATAAAGGTATTAAAGACATTTCCAAAGGGACTATAGCTTAGCACCAAGTGAACTAGAGTGAGAAATGTCCCTTTCCACATAGGGAAGGTAGGATCACTAATATACTTTTGAGATTTGAGACTACAATGCATGTTGCATAAATAGGGTCCCAACAATATTTCCCAATTCTTGAACTATGTTGCACCCATAGGAATACTAGGTAGTGAATCCACGTAGGTTCTACGTTCATGTTTTTGTACACCCTTGGCAAGTAGTCTTCCTTCCTTCGGTGTAGGGTTCCATGACATCGGATTCCACATTATCTCATATGGTATATGTAGGTTAAGGCAATATGTTCCCAAAAGGTAAAATGGACTAAACGAATAAACTCTAACAAGGATGACTTACATTGTTTAACTTAGTCTAGGTAGGGGTATAGGACTCTACCTAAACATTGCACTAGTTATCCTTGAGAGAAGTCATAGAAGGATGTTCTTATATATGGATATGCTTATAATTGTGGATATGTATGTGATGATTTTTCACATTGATGATACCACATGAAGATTGGTTTCACTTATGAATATGTGTTTGATCTCTAATTCTAAACTATGATGATGTATACTCCTAAATGATATGCTATGTGAAGTTGGATATTGGTGATGGTTCTTGTTGTATTTACTTGATTGATTAAGGTTATGGGGCTTTTCTTGGCCATTGCACTAGTTGTCTTAATGAGGGTTCATGGGTAATTGTCTTGCTTTGGTTATATTGTAATGAACTCTTATTCATGCTTGTTGTTATTATAACCTGAAGATAGAGTTGCCTTGACTATGTGTTCAATTATGTGATATGTATGTGGACTTGACTAGGTTTAGTATTGTTGGTCTTGTAATGTACGTATTTTTGACTTAATAAATATGTCTTATTTATTTGTATGGTCTTCTTGAATGTGCATATGGTTTTTCCAAGTAAATTGCATACTTCAATAAATTTTCCTTTTTAGCATTATTTCATGTTATGTGTGGATATGGTCTCATACTTGGTACAAGTAGTGCACTAACCCCATTTTCTCCCTTTTTCCCAAACAATTTAGGTTTCGGTCGTTGAAGGGATTTTGAGAGGACTTTGAAGGAAGTCTTGGAATTCTCACTCATCTAAGTTGGGTAGGTCCTCACTTTTCGATGGCAATGCCACTATCAAGCTTATGATGTTGTTTTAGTTTTAAGACTTCTATGTTCTTTTCTTTTCATTTGAGTAATAAAGATTGCATAGCCTATATATGGCTCTTATTATATTAATGTATAGGCTATGCCCAAATTTGATATTCTCGTTTAGATTGTTATGAAATGAGACATCCGGTTATACACACACACACACACAAACACACACAGAATATATATATATATATATATATATATATATGTATTTATATATATATATAAATAATATGCAATAAAAGTAGAAGAATAAGTACTCCTTATATACTAAGGGTCTATGTATACTCGATATGTCTATATTGTGTTTATAGTACAGGTTGATGTAAAACTCATCATAGATATAATTTTTTTTAAAAACATTTCTGCATTTTAAACATATGAATGTAATGATGTAATCTAAGATGCTAGTCTTTGACTTCAAAAAGGACGACGATGCCAGTTACGTCTAGGGGGTGCTCCTCGAATGTGACAAACTTGGTATCAAAGCATGAGGTTGATTACATTTAGAATTGATGTCTGACTTAACCACTTCTGTGTAGATTCTTATTCATAATTGTGAAGTGCGCCATATTTATGAATAGGAAACTATAAGATTCTTAGAAAACTCTCACTTTCTTTGAAATCCAATATCATGCCTTTTGAGTCTTGACTCCATGTGCTCTTACAATCTAATCCTTTACTGTGATTATTGATAATAAATAATCGAAGTAACAGGGCACAAAGACTTGAATAAGAGATTTCAAATGCGGGAGCTCCTCCCCGAGAAAATCAAGTCTCGCCTCTTGAAGAGGATGTTAATGATGACCAAGCTCCGGTCAATCCTCCTCCTTCATGAATGGTGACAAAAGGGCTTCCATTATCCAAATGGCACAAGCCATTACTAATCAAGATTAAATCATCACTAATCAAGATGAATCCCCTACCTTTTATGGGTCCAAGGTTGAAGAAGACCCCCACGAGTTCATTGATGAAATCGACAAGATCCTCTATTCTATGGGGTTAACTACTCATGAGAAGGTCGAGTTAGCCACTTATCAACTCAAAAGACATGGCTCAAACTTGGTACGCCCAATGGAGAGACAATAGTCCTTTAAGAGGTAGACCGGTGACTTGGGAGGTTTTCAAGAAGACTATTCTTGATAGATTCTTTCCTAGCGAGAAGAGGGAAGCAAAGTGGTGGAGTTCATCAACCTTCATCAAGGATGTACGAGTGTACTTGAATACTCTTTAAAATTCACTAAATTTTCAAAGTATGCTCCTTCTTTGGTTCATGATCCTAGAGATGAAATGAACTTCTTTGTGACGGGGGTGTTGGATGACATGCAAGAGGAATGTCACTTGGCTATGGTACATGACAATGTTAAAATTTCTTGTCTCATGGTTCATCTCAACAAGTGGAATAGACAAGGTCTAAGAGAAAGAGTAGCGATGCCAAGAGGGCAAAGTCTTTTGATGGCAGTTCTTCAAAGGGTACACTTGACATCCAAGATAGGTCTAGGTTCAAAAAGAGTTTTTATAGTCAAGTTACTTACATGTTACCTAAGGCTCATGATTATAAGGTGTCTAACCCTAAGCCTCAAAAGGGAAGGATTACTAGTTCACCAACCAAGAAACCAACTTGTGGAAAGTGTGGCAAGAAGCATTATGGTGATTGACTTAAGGGAAAGAATAATTGTCTTGGTTCTGGTAGAACTGGACACAAAGTTTGAGATTGCCCAAATGTGAAGGGCAAAGACAAGAAGAGTCTGCAAGCAAGTGATTCTAATGATGCTCCGAAGAAGAACCGCTTTTATGATCTGCGCTCTAGACGTGAGCAAGAGACTTCCCCGGCTGGTAACCGGTATGTTGAAAGTCTTTTCCATTGAAGTATATGCTTTACTTGATCCCGGTGCTACCTTAGCATTTTTTACTCCTCTAGTAGCTAAAAAATTTGACATTTTGTCCGATTTCTTTAAAGAACCTTTTATGATGTCTACTTCGATAGGTGAGTCGGTGGTTGCAAAAAGGGTGTATAGAAATTATCCTACAATGTTGTCCAATAGAGTTACTCATGTTGAACTAGTAGAACTTGATATGTTTTATTTTGATGTTATATTGGGTATGGATTTGTTGCATGCTTGCTTTGCCTCCATATATTGTAGATTAAGGGTAGTGAAGTTTAACTTTACAAATGAGCTTGTTTTAGAGTGGAATTCCTAAAAGTCGTATAATTTATTGTTTGAAAGATTGTAGGATGATCTCAAAAGGGTGTTTATACCATATACTAAGAGTCAAGATTTAGACTCCGAAATTCCTCCCATTGAGCCGATCCCCTTAGTGAAGGAATTTCCAAAGCTCTTTCCTAATGATCTCCCCGGTATTCCTCTAGAACAGGAAACTAATTTTGGTATCGACTTGTTATGGGATCCAAATCCCATTTCAATTCCTCCTTATCGCATGGATCCGACCGAATTGAAAGAGTTAAAGGCTCAAGTCAAATATTTACTAGACAAAAGATTCATTAGATCTAGTATTTCTCCATTGGGTGCTCCGATTTTGTTTGTGAAGAAGAAGGATGGGTCCCTTAGAATGAGCATTGATTATCGCCAACTCAATAAAGTCACTATTAAGAACAATTATCCTCTCCCTAGGAAGTGACTACTTGTTTGATAGACTCTAAGGGGCAAGCTACTTTTCTAAGATTGACTTGAGATTGGGATATCAGCAACTTAGGGTGAGAGGTGAGGATATACCAAAAATGGCTTTTCGGACTAGATATGGTCACTATGAGTACTTAGTAATATCATTTGGTATCACTAATTCCCTGGAGATATTTATGGATCTCATGAATAGAGTTTTTCAAAGTTACTTAAATTTATGTGCCATTGTCTTCATATCGATATCTTGGCATATTCGAAAAATGAGGGTGAACACATGGACCATTTAAGGGTGGCGTTACAGGTGTTTAAGGAGAACCAATTATTTTCCAAGTATAGCAAATGTGAGTTTTGGTTGAGGTCGGTGGAATTTCTTGGTCATATCATCTCTAGTGAGGGAGTTGAGGTTAATCCAAGGAAAATCGAGGCAGTCAAGAATTGGCCTAAACCGTTGACTCCAATATTAGTAGTTTCATAGGTCTAGCGGGCTATTATCAGATGTTTGTGGATGGTTTTGTGTCCATTGAATCTCCCTTGACTACTTTGACCCCGAAAAAGGATAAGAAATTTGAGTGGCCGTAGGCATGTGAGAGAATCTTCCAAATCTTAAAAGATATGCTTACTTCTGCTATAGTGTTGACTTTACCGAAGGGTACAAAGGTCTTCGTTGTGTATTGTGATGCATCCCGAGTGGGTTTAGGGTGTGTGCTTATGCAACATGGTAAAGTAATAGCCTACGCCTCTAGACAAGTTAAGGTGCGTTAGAGAAACTATCCAACTCATGATCTTGAATTAGCGGCCATTGCATTTGCCTTGAAAATATAGAGGCATTACTTGTATGGTGTTCATGTGGATGTGTATACCAACCACAAGAGTCTACAAAATGTGTTTACTCAAAAGGCGTTGAATCTCCGACAAAGAAGGTGGTTGAATTGTTGAAATATTACAACATGAGTGTTCTCTATCACCCCGACAAAGCCAATGTGGTTACGGATGCTCTAAGTCGTATGACCATGGTTAGTGTGTCTCATGTATAGGAAGCCAAGAAAGACCTAGTGAAAGATGTTCATAGGTTGGACTGATTGGGCATTAGATTAAGATTCTCCGAATGGTGGTTTTATGATCCATCATAACTCTGAGTCATCTTTTGTGGTTGAGGTGAATTCCATACAACACCTTGATCAATCATTGATGGAGTTGATGGAATTGATTCTTGGCAAGATTTTTAATGAGTTATTCTCCTTAGGGGGGATGGTGTCTTGCGGTATCTAGGAAGGTTGTGTGTTCCCAATGTAGATGGTTTGAGGAACCAGATTCTTGAGGATGCTCATGGGTCCATTCAATCCATTCATCCGGGTTCGACAAAGATATACCACGACCTTAGAAAACTATTTTGGTGGGAAGGCTTGAAGTAGGACATAGCAGAATTTGTTGGAATGTTTCCAAATTACCAACAAGTGAAAGTTGAACACCAAAAGCCTGGTGGGGTTTTCTTTAGGAAATCCAAATTTCTACTTGGAAGTGGGTTGATATCCATATGGATTTTGTGGTAAGTTTGCGTCGGACACAAAAGCAATATGACTCTATATGGGTGGTTGTGCAGAGGTTGACCAAATCCTCTCATTTTATTCCCGTCAAGTTTACTTACATAGAGGAATATTATGCAAGGATCTTCATAGATGAGATTGTGTATCGCCATGGTATTCTGTTATCCATCATATTTGATAGGGGGGACACCATTCACATCTAGATTTTTGAGGTCATTCCAAGAAGGGTTGGGTATCAAGGTGAAGTTAAGCACCGCTTTTCATCCTCAAACTAATGGTCAAACGGAGCGTACTATTCAAACCCTTGAGGATATGCTTAGAGCTTGTATCACTCATTTAAGGGAAATTGAGTTAAGCACTTGCCTTTGGTTGAGTTTGCTTACAAAAATAGCTATCATTCATATACAGTTATGGCTTCCTATGAGGCCTTGTATGGTAGGAGATGAAGATCTCCAATTGAATGGTTTGAAGTAGGCGAGTCTTCACTTTTGGGTCCCAATTTTATTTTTAAGACTTTGGAGAAGGTTGATCTTATAAAGAATCACTTGTAAACAGCCTATAGACGGAAAAAGTCTTATGTCGATCATAGGAGAAGGGAGTTAGAGTTTGAAGTGGGTGATAAGGTGTATTTAAAAATTCGCCTATGAAAGGGGTGGTGAGATTTGGCAAGAAAGGGAAGTTGAGTCCTCGTTATGTGGGTCCCTATGAAATCTTTAAAAATATTTGCAAGGTGGCATATGATTTGAAATTTCCTAGAGAATTGGCTTCGGTTCATCCGATGTTCCATGTTTCAATGCTTAAGAAGCGTATTAGTGATCCCGGGTCTATTCTTTCTATTGAGGTTCTTGGTGTGAATGATAATCTCTCCTATGAGTAGGTTCTAGTTGAAATCCTTGATCGTCAAGTGAAGAGGTTGAGGAACAAAGAAGTGGCCTCCGTAAAAGTTTTATGAAGAAACTACCTAGTTGAGGGAGCTACATGGGACGCCAAGGGCGACATGAAGTTCCGTTGTCCTCATATCTTTTCTTATGAAGATAATTTATTTTTTCTAATAATGTAAACAATGACTAAATTTGAAATTTCTCTGATTTTTTGTAAAGTTTTGCAAAAATGTTCATTATATGGTGACATCATAGTGAAGTGTGCTTTTGACTTGAACATTTTGCAATTCTTCTTGTTTTGAGTTATGTTGTGAATTTTGATATGGTGAGTTATAAGAAATCATATTGATAATATTTGTAAGTTGATTTTTCACATAATTGAATCATATATGGTATGTTGAGCTCTTGTTGTTGTGAGAAAGAAATTCCTCATAATGTGATGTTGAGCCTTATTCGTGGAAATTGAAGTTTTGAATTGCTAGGTGTAAAAATACCATGATTTGATTTGTAACCCATGTTTTGATATGTTGTTGTTGGTTAATATTCTATTCTTGCGTCTATTTCTTCCTTTCAAATGATTTTAGTGTCATTCGAGGACGAGAATTCCTAGGGGGGGGGGATAATGTAACACTTCGAAAGTCTAAGATGTATTCTAGAATCTAACATGGGTGTCAAAAGATTTAGATATTGTTTTAATGATAAATAATGAATATAGGTCATTTAGGAAGTTTTAGAATCAAAACGTCAAGGAACGCCTCATGACGTCCGGGCACGACTCCCTAAGAACCAACTATGGGCTCTTGAGGAGGACCCTTGCATTTTGGGGTCAAAGACTGCCCAAGGCAATGACCACCAACGGATGCAACAAACAATCCGTTTTCCAATCGTCGGGGCGTGGACTGCTTCCGTCAATGGATACTAAGACGTATCCATGGGATCCTCATTTTACAAGTCTTTGAACTAAACGAAGAACCAGCTAGACGGTTGGTCCCTTCGTGCTGTCGATTGACACACTAGGCGTCGACGTGGTCTCGCCTCTGAGACCACTGGTTTTGCTTCACTATTTAAGTTAGATAAGTTAATTAATTAAGTGGTTGGTCAATTAATTATGGGTTAAGGGTCGTCTAATTAAGTTAGTTGATTAAACTAACCTTAGCCCTCATAATTCCGATACCCAAATTCTCTTCCTTCTCCCTTCTTTCTCTCTCCAACGTCGAAGAACACTCTAGAAGGTCAAATTAAATGGGGTTATATGTCAGAAATCACCAAGGTTTATCCATCAATATTCATCAAACATTAAGGTATGGGATTCTTTTCACCTTTGGGACTTCTTTCCTCAAAGGGTTCTTTCAAATTCATCTCAAAAGATGAGTTTTCATGTGTGTCTTTTCCAATCTCGAAATTGATCTTTCAATTTAATTTGTTTATGATTTACTTTGGATAAAATGAACAGGTTAACATGTATTATAACTCAATTATGTTATTTCTTGATGGATTGGTCTACTTTATAGAACATCACCTATTCCCCTTAACCGTAGGTTATGATCTTGAATTAAACTATCTAGTAAGAATGTATTTGTTTTTTTTAATGTGTGAATTAATGTCGTATAATTTTATTGTGCAAATTTATGAATAGATCGTGATGAATTGTAAGTCCTACAACGCTAGTTCTTTAGTAATTGATCTAGATTGTGAAGTGGGTTATTAACTTGACCAAAGTCTGTAATCTTAAGCTATGAACTGGTGATGGATTGTGATGTAGAGATTCA